TTGTTAAATTTAATGTGCATCTTGTTGAATTTTGTGTCAAGAGAGTTGTATTTCATCTTTTAAGCGATGGTACATTGGAACTTGAAGATACGAAAGTTTGTTGAATTTTAAGGCATTATGCTTAGCCAAAGAGGAATGTGTGCCCTAATCTCCCTGTGGTGATAAAACGCCTTGTCACTTTGTGGTGCGGCAACTCGCAAAAAAGTGGATGGCAATTTATATAGGCGACATGTTGGTGCTAATGAAGGGTTAAAAGTTTTTAACCGTTAGGGTAGGTTAAAAAGAAAGTGGTTCATTTTGATGTCTTTAAAAATCTTAGTAAGTTCCTAATGGCTTATAATGATTGCTTTAGAATTTGATGTTTAATTGATGGATTGTGTCACAAAGACAACCTTGAATGCTTGAATAAAGTTGGCCATTGATAAAGGTGATGTAAACCTGAAATACCCAAATTTTGAGGCCTCAGAGAAGCCTGTTTTCCCGGACTGCAACCAGTCCCGGGCCGACCAGAAGCTTTTCGGAAGTTTTCACCGAAAATATGTCATGATGGTACTTAAAAACGTACCGGCAATGTCGCGAGCGGATCGCGAACAAAGTTCCGAAATATTCGGAGGTCCCAGAAGCCGTCCCAAAAAGGCCCCCGGAACGAGGCAAGCGGTTCACCCAGGCCACGAGGGCGAGCGCCGGGGCCGCCGGCAATGGCTGCGCCTGCCGGCCGGACCCCGAGAACGGGCCGCGGAAAGGCCCCCGCACCCCGGCCCGCCGGGAAACGGCGGCAGCAGCCGCAACCAGCCTGGCGGGGCACCGTGCCGCCGTCCACTGCCCTAGGCGGCACCTCTGCACTGCCAGGGCACTGCCTTAGGCGAGCCCTGCCGCCAGCGCGCGCAGGGCCCTGTCCGCCCGCCGAGGCGGGCGGGGCTGCCGCACGCGCGGGGCGGAGGCCCTTGCCGGCCGAAGCAGCGAACCTGCGCACGGGCGCGGCCTTCGTGCCGACCAGGGCGGGGCGAGGACCTGCGGCCCAGCGGCGGCGCGGGCGAGGCTGTCGCCTCCGCGCGGGGCGAGGCCTGCCGCACAGTACGCGCAGCCGTGCCTGTCGCCGGAGCCGCGCGCCCGATTTGTCCGGGTGCCCCGAGGACGTGCCGACCAGGAAGCCCGCGAGAGGTGTCTGCAATTGTCGTCCTTAACAAGGCCATTGGCGCGCCGCCAGGACGGGGGCGCCCCTGAGACAATGCCCGTCCTTTCGATTTCAACAGCCCGATTTGTTCGCTTCACCCCTTAAGTGGGTGCGTCAGATTTAAGCGCATTTAGCCGACAACATGGACTCTCGACTTTTAAAGGCCGTTTCGCGGCCAAAAATGGTTCCGATTCTACGCACCTGTTTACGTCGAAAAAGATACGATTTTAGGCGTTTGGCAGCAGAGGCCCTTTAGTGGCTCTCGATTTTACGACTTTGTACAGCCGAAAAGTTGACCTTGTAGGCATTTTGGCCAAAATGTTGATTCAGACTTTTAGTCCACAATTAATTGATTAAATTGGACTTAAGGCCGGGATTTGTTTCCGAAATAAGAACAGTTTGAACCGTAGTTATTAACTCACTCACTAAGCCTCTTTCGCCAATAATTGGTCGGATTTAAAGCTTGTGGTGACTCATCGGGGTGTTCACGTGGTAATTAACCACAGCGGTTGCCACGTTTAAGCTTAAAATCATATTTATTTAAGACCAGTTTATTTGATCTAAATGATGTGTGTCGCTTTCATGGCATTTAATGCAATTAGTAGCAGCGAAACTCTATTAAGAGTAAGATAAAAGAAGTATGCACTGAAGTAGGCTAAAATTAAATAGGCAGAGTTGTCGTTTAGGTACCGCGTTAATTTAATCGAACGACCCGCTTCTTAACTCCAAGAATTAAAGCTCGTCGCTTAGGAAATATCCTAATTAATTCTTAATTTGTTTAATTTTTCAATTGTTCCAAATATCACAATACCAAAATGCAATAAAAATTAAAATTAAAGTGCAAAAAGGGTAAAGAAAACGCAGGAGCGTGAGAGGGAGAAAGGATTCGTCGCCGTCAAAACAGGCAAGGCGCACTAGAAATTAGGCTGAAAATGGCCTATTTATAGGCCATTTTCGGGTCCCGGCGGCAGGTGGCCGCGAGAGGGCGGGGGGTGCCGCCCTACTCGTGGGGCCGGCAGGCCCGCCAGCGTGGGCGGGGGGTGCTGCCTGGGAGCGCGGCAGCTGCGCGCCCAGTTCGGTGGGGCGCGGCGGCCCAGCTTTCGATGGGATTTGTCGAGCCTGTGTGTGCTCGGTCTGGGCGGCAGGTGCCAGCCCAGGGGGGGTGGGAGGGCCAGGCCCCGCCTGCGCGGTGGCGACAGCCCCGCGGGCTCCTGGGCGGGGCACGCCTCGCCCTGCGCGGGGCGACATGCCACGCGATGGTTGGAGGCCGGCGCGACGGGGCGCGTTGGGCTTCGCTGGGCCGGCGGCTCGCGCCCGCGCGGGGCCGACAGGCCCCTTCGGCCCTCGCGCGAGCTGGCAGGCTTCGCCGCGCGGGGGCGACAGGCCGCGCCTGGCCTGCGCGCTGGGCGGCAGGCCCTGTCGGGCCGTGCGTGGCGCGTGTTGCGGCAAGGCCCCGCCCGCGCGGGGCACAAGGGCCCCGCGACGCGCTGGGCGGCAGCCTCCGCCTAGGCAGCCAAAATCGAAGGATGCCGGGGGGCGACGGCGAGGGTGGCCGGCTAGGCAGTGGGGCGGCAGGTGCCCGCCACAAGGCTTGGGCGGCTTGCTAGCCGCCGTTCCCGGCGGCCGGCTCCGCCGTGGCGCGGGCAGGCGAGCCATGACCCGCGGCGCGGGCGCCGCCGTGGCCGGTGTGGACACCGTGCTGTTCCGGGGCCTTTTTGGGAGTTCTGGACTCCGATAAAATATTTCGTGGACTTGTTCCGCGATCTCTCGGGACATTCCGGAAGTTTTAGTACTATATTGACATATTTTTCGGTTGAACTTACTGTTGTTGCCGAAATAGCCTTCGGTCCGGCCGGACTGTTTGCAGTCCGGGAAAACAGGCTTTCCTGAGGCCTCAAAATTTGGGTATTCAGAGTTACATCCACCCTTTATCAATGGACTTTATTTGTTTCAAAGCATTCAATGGTTCTTTTACACAAATCATAATACATCAATTCTAAGCAATCATTATAAGCATAGGAAGCTTATAAGATTTAGAACATCAAAAACCACTTTTCCTTTTTTAACCTACCCTAAGTTAACTTACCTCATAGACAATTCGATTAATGCTCTTTGCAGTTGCAAGGAAAGGTTTCCAAGGATTAGGGATCCTTATCTATCTTCATCAAGTCAAGAATAACCAATCAACAAGAAAAATAATTTACCTTTTCTTGAAGAGCACAATCTTATCATTCCTCTTAGATATTTGATTGATCGATCTGCTCAATTGTAGAGACATTCTTGTTGGTTTCAGCTCTCCCATCCCCTAGCATCTTAAAAAACCTAATAAAGACATAAGATTAATGCTTGCACTAAATCCTTGCTAATGCTTTCAAATCAAGACATTTCCAATATTACAAAGGATAGAAAAACTTCATGGATCTCTTTAAACTTTTGGAGGTATTTTGTTTTGAAATGATTGCAACTAACTCCTCTGTTAACAATTACAGTTCCTTGATCATCAAATCTTCCTTTTTCTGGTCAGGATCTCCTTCAAAAATTTTGAATAACTGGGAAAATTTAAGCAAGGGCTTCAGCAAAAGGAGATGTTTATTTGCAACTTTTTGGAAAACATCAAGAAACTTGAGGAACTCTTATCATCTTGTGATTTCTTAAGGCCTTTGGTGGGAAGGAATAGGTGGAACATAGGGTTTCCACTTTCATCTTTCTCTTCTAGGTTAAGTGGAGGGGATATTTTTCTGCTCCTCTGTTCAGCTCCTCTAGGTGGATCCTCCAATTGTTTGCCATTCCTCAAAGTGATAAGCTACTGTACCTGTTCTTTTGGGATTCTTTTCAAGTGTTAATTAGGTAACGTACCTTGAGGTTTAGAGGCCACATGTTAGGCAAACCCCTAGTGAATCTCCAAGTTCTTATCGCGGCTTGTTGGAATTTTGTGATTTTCCCGAGTTTCGTTCATGCAACTCGCATGTAAGATTTAGAGGAGAACTTATAAGAAGCAAATCATCAATGGAGTCTTCTTTTCTTGAGACGGAGAAACCTGTATGGTGGCATTCAAGGTGTTGTTTGGGGTTCCCATCAAGAAAGATTAGGACTGATTTCTCAACCTCATTATCATAGAAGTTTAGAAAATATGGGTAGTTCTTTCTTCTGATTCGTCACATAAGTTTTGATTGCTCTAAAAGTTTAATGGATTTAAAGCAATTTCATGCATGCACTCTCCCAATCCCAATGTTGGCCATTACCACCTATCACATGCTTTGGCACAATAGATTAAAAGAGTTTTAGTAGTCACAAATCCACTTCCTTACTACTGTTTCCACTTTGGCATTGAGTTTTGCAGTTAATGGCATCAAAATTTCATAAATCCTGCAGGCTTCCTTCAATTTTAGAACCTTATTTTGTGGATAATGGCTACTTGCTTGCCATCTCTTCTATGAAAATCATATGCCTATCAAATTTCCTTTTTCTTTCAAAAAGATCCACCAGCAGCTGCAGCTGCATCTAAAGTAATATTTATGTTAGGAGATAAATGCATGATAGAAAGTTTGTACCTATAGACACTTGGGTAAAGGCCTATGATGTGGGTCACTTCTCAATAGGTCCTTAAATATCTCTCCCAGCTTCATAAAACTCTCTTGATCCTGGTTGGGCAAAAGTCATTATCTCATTGTGAAGCTTTGTGCTCTTTGAAGATGGAAAGAATTTCGCTAAAAATTTATGGCTAGTTTCCCTCCAGTAGTAAAACTTCCAGTAGGGCATGGTATGTAACTAAGACCGTGCTTATCCCTTAGAGTGAAAGGAACAGGTCTCAAATTTTTATATGGCAAATCCTCAAAACTCCGTTTTGCTAAACCATATCGTAAATTCTAGGAAAATTTTATGATAAGGGCATTTAGGCATCTTCACTAGGCAATACATCTATATTGAATTGAAGGTAGAAAGCATTTTGAAATAATTGGCAGGTTTGATCTTAAAATTATTGGTTTTCCAACCCTAGGCCTAGTGATACTTGAAGGGTGGTCCCATTTCAGATGAAGGAGTTGTGTAGTCCTGCGCAAGGTGTGGACAGGAAGTTTGAGTTTCTTCTATTATTATTTTATTGGGGCCCTGAATAGAAGATCAGTTTTTCAATATGTCAAGCTTTAGGATCGACAATTATTTGCTTTGTTGCTCTTGTTCTCTCCTTTATGCTCTCTGGCTGCGTTGTTTCTGTTGACAGTCTTTTCAATTTCTGGATTAAAGGACTAAGGGCTCAGTTCTACAGTCTTCTTTGCATAAACCTTGAAAATAATCTTTCTTGAAAAAGTAAAAAGTGAAAATAAATAAAAATAAATGTTTACAATTAATAATAATGTAATTAGTATCGGATATTGGTAACCGCCCAATCCCCGGCAAAGGCGCCACAAAACTTGACAGGCTTTTTTTTCGCAAATGTCGAAATCGCGACAAGTAGCAAAAAAATGAAAGTAGAGGTATGTTCCACAAGGAATTGTATACAAGTACCAAAATTGTATTAACTTACTATTATTTAAGACGACAATAAGGAGAATTATTTTAATGAAAATCTAAAATAAGTAATAGAAGAATAAAAGAAATGCAGGCAAGGCAATTATGGATGAAAAGAAACAAGGATTAAAAACTTACTAGGCGAATTTTGATTTCAACTTAATTCTATCACAATTTATTTTATTTAATTTGTTTAATCAGTTTTAATTGTTCAAGTAGGGGAAACAACCCTAAAATCACTGACAAGCTCTTCCGATGTTATTTGGTTATCTATTTTAACGAACGATCTAATTACCTATTTCCAAATAGTGCGATAAATATTGAATTAATTGCATCACGTTTTATATTTTTGCGTTTTAAGAATTCAAAACCTAAGGTCCATTTGACTTATGAAAATCCCCTATGAGTAAACCATGTAACTTTTGCATCAAGTTTATTAATTCCCATGGTAATTATTATCTTTTTCATTAAAAAACTCTCTCCCGATAGTTTAATGACCAATAATCAATCTAGGGGAAAACCTCTGGCCTGCAAGATTAAGTTCAATAATCGAATTATACCTTGAATAAGAAAATAAAGAAAGGCAAATCTAATATTATAAATTGGAATTGAAATTAAGCTACATCAAGTTCCTAGTATGAGAGTTTAGTTCAACATAGTAATTAAATAAAACTCAATTGAATTTGTAAATAATCCCATAAGAATAACAAACAAAAAGAGAGTTTATAATAAAAACTAGTTAACCATAAGCTTGAACAGCTTCTTTGAATCTTCACACCAATCTTCAGCACTTGAAGTCTTGAAAAGAGAAAACTGTGTAGGAATTAATAAAACAATAGATGGTATATGGAAAATCACCCTCAATAATAGCTAGTTTCTCTCTTTTTATAGCCTTTATGAAATTATCTTCCCGATCCTGTTAGGAAAGTAGATCTCCTATTGAGTAAGAAATCTTCTTGAGATAGAAAACTATTTAGGCTTTGTATTCCTCCCCAGTCAGGACTCTCTCAGCATCTAAATAGGATTAGTCAGGACTCTCTCAGCATCTAAATAGGATTTACTTAATCGGCACGTTAGAAAAGCGGCACATGCGGGTCCATGCAAGTGGCACGGGCTAGAATTGACGTTCTCGGCCCAAGGTAAAGTCTCGTCTTCAGCACAGGCATTCTGTCTAGCACAGTCTAGGTCTGCTAGGCTTTGAGTCCCTGAGGTGGATGTAGCACGCGTCGTGCTTAAATGAGCATGCTCAAGGATCAACAGTTACTTGCGGCATGGGCGTGCTCTCTAGCACAGCTTGGGCGTGCCAAGGTCTAGAGACTTCAAGGCAGTTGCAGCACGGGCCGTGCTAGAGTGAGCACGCTCAATGATCGACAACCTCTTGTAGCACGGGTGTGCTCTTTGGCATGGCTTGGGCGTGCTAGCTTCTGTGTCTCTGTTCACTTTAACGCAGCACGGGGGTGCTAGATGACAGGCCTAGGGCGTGCTAGAGTCTGAACCTAGGAATACTCTTTTTTGTATTTTTGGTTGATTTCTTATAAAAATGCTGCCAAATTCCCCAAAATCAAGTGAAATATGATTCAAGGAAGTTTTAAATAAAAATATAAATAAAAGCAAATAAAAACTAATTAAAGTAATAAAAAATACTAAAAAAATCCTAATAAAACTATATTAAAAATACTATAAAAATAACACCTATCATTTTCCAGTCCATAATCCTTAATGTACCGTATGCCTTTTAGATATGCTTCTTTCTAAAATGTTCTAAATTTCTTGTTTTTGCGTTAGACAAATGTAATGATCCACATAGTATTTGGGATTATGGTGCTTTAATCACAATGAGTTTAGTTTCTAAGTGTGACTAAGTCTAAATGTGACTTATTCAATTATTACTTAATTTAATTTTAGTTTTGAATGTTTTAATTTATAGTGACATATGATTATTCGTGTCATAAATGACGAAACCATTTGGAATAACAAGATTAATTAATTGATGAGGCAAAAACAAATTAAATGTCTTATATGTGCATTAACAATCTCACCTATTTAATGCTTTGGCTAGGGTTATTAGATGATGGAAGAGAAATATTTAAAATTTAAATTTTCAATTCATTATCTTTCATCTCCACCAAAATCTACCAATTTTAATTGGGAACCAAAATGACACTACACATAATTAAATATAGGCAAAAATGATATTGGATAATCATGAGCCAATAATTATTATCCTTGCAAAAAAAAAAAAGGTATCTTTTTACAATTATATATATATA